TGAGTCACAAGCGACTCGACGGCCCATAACAACAAACAACATCTAAAATTACATTATTTAGACTATTGTAGTGACTTTCAGTTTTACTTCTCAGGATGATTCTAATACCAGTGTCATTCATATCTACCTGCTGTATGATGTTTTCCCTGGTGGCACTAGTCCCTTCTTGCAACATGTCCAAAGTATTTAGACGAAGTCCTAGAATCCTTGCCTCACCCTCTCTAGGATGAACCTGTTTGTTCTCTTGGCAGTCCATGATGTATTAAACATTCTTCTCCAGCGCCACAGCTCAAAGGCATCAATTCTCTTTCTGTCATCCCTATTCACTGTCCAACTCTCTGATGCATAGCATGTAATTGCAAAGACTATAGCCTGAATCAGGCGCACCTTAGTCTCCAGCCTGACGTCGTTGCTCTTCAATACTAAAGCTGTTAACAGTCTTATCCCTTCACCATCTATCATAATGCTGCCAGTTAGCCCAGTGGTGAGAATCTTTGTTTTCTTGATGTCAAGCTTCAATCCATGTTGAAGACTGCAGTCCTTGACTTTCTGCAGCCAGCACTTCAGGTCCTCCTCAGTTTCAGTCATAAACAAGTTTGTTATTTGCATAATGCAGGTTGTTGATGAGTCTTCCTCCAACCTTGATGCCACACTAGATCCAGACTGTAGTCTTTGCAGTTACATGCTATGCATTGGAGAGTTGGACAGTAAATTAGGGTGATAGAAAGAGAATTAATGCCTTTGAGCTGTGGTGCTGGAGAAGAGTGTTGAATATACCATGGACTGCTAGGAGAACAAGCAGCTTTGTCCTGGAGAGGGTGAAGCCGGAATATTCCTTGGAGTCCAGGATTCTGAATCTTCGTCCGACATACTTTGGGCATGCTGCAAGGAGGGACTGGTCTTTGGAGAGGGACATCATGTTTGGGAGAGTGGAGGGACGGCGCAGGAGAGGAAGACCTTCAATGAGATGGATCGATTCTGTGACTGGAGTGGTGGGAATGAGTGTATTTGAGACAGTGAGGTTGACACAGGATAGAACGGCGTTTAGGGCTCTTGTACATAGGGTCTCTATGAGTTGCAGGCGACTCGATGGCACATAACAACAACAACATAGGGTGAGAGGTGTGCATCCTGCTTCAGCTTTCTGCAGGTAGCAGTCAAGGTTTGCCAGCACCATTTGTTGAAGAGGTTGTCGTTTCCCCATTTGTTAGGTTTCGTTTCCTTGTTGAATATCAGTTGACCATAGATAGATGGATTAATTTCTGGGTTCTCGATTCTATTCCATTGATCTGTGTGTCTGTTACTGTACTAGTATCATGCTGTTTTAGTTATTACTGCTTTGTAGTAGGTTTTGAGATCAGGGAGGGGTATGCCTCCCACTTTATTCTTGTTTTTCAGAAGTACTTTGCTTATTTGAGGTCTCTTTCTTCTACAAATAAACTTGCCAATTACTTTTTCTATCTCTTTGAAAAATGAATTTGTTATCTGTATTGGGATTGTGTTAAACATGTAGATTGCTTTTGGTAGGATTGTCATTTTCTCTCTTGAGTCTTCCTATCCATGAAGTTATCCATTTTTATTTAGATCTTTTATTTTTTCTTGCAGAAATGTTTTGTAGTTTTCCTTGTAAAGATATTTTATTTCTCTAGTTAGGTTTGTTTCTAAGTATCTCAATTTGTGGTTGGTTATTATAAATGCTTTCTTATTTTCTTCCTTTCTGTTTTCTTTGTTACATTAGAGGAATTTCACTGACTTGTATATTGATACTATCTTGCCATTCTACTAATTTCATTTACTAGCTGTAACAGTTTGTTGTTTTTTTTAATTGGGTCCTTGGGCTTTTCTGTGTACACTATCATTTCATCTGCATATAGCCACAGTCCACCAATCTCTCTGCCAGGATAGCCCATTATTGTGCCTTGTAGCAACTGGTGGACTTTAATCATGTGCCTTTGGTATCGCAGTATACTTTCTTACTACTGGGCCACAAGAGTTCAGTGTGGAATATTTAGTGAGATTTACAGAGTTGCAGTGGCGAGGTTTGCAGAAAGTGTCCTAGACCATGACTTCGTTCACACTCTTTCTAGAGTACATTGTACATAGGGTGGGGTATTTGGTGAGACTTAGAGAGTTGCATGGGTCAGGGGAAAGTGTCCTGGCAGTGGAACCTCACCTGGAAGTCTGTGGGTAGTAGGATATAGGATTAGCTCACAAGTCTCTGCCCTGTATTTTCTACCAGTTGTCTCTTCTACCTTCCCATGTCCTGTCTAGTTTTGTGTGTCCAGTGCCTTTTCCCATTAGACCACAATGCCTGCCATTTGGAGCTCCTAAGAGATCCAGTAAAAATGCTTTCTTGTTTGCAGAGCACCTACCCCTTCCTCATAGGGATGCAGGGTAGATGTGTTTCTCGTTCTCTATTAAGTTAAACGTAATTTAAAACTCTTTTTTGCTTTTGTATTTAACTCTTCAGTTGATAATTTTCTCAGGAACATCTTACTGGGGATGAGTTTGATCCAGCACCAGTTTTCCTACAGTCGAGTCAGGTAGAGAGAAGAGGCTGGGCTGTGGCTGTTTTCCCACTTTCACTTTCCCGTTTCCTTCCTCTTCTCACCCCATAGGAAGCTACCCTGCTAACCCACAGGCAGTGCTTCTTTGGCACCTTGAACCTCCCACTGACGCCTTAGGGAAGGATGGACAGTCTCTGGAAAACCTCCTCAGGGTCAGCTGTGTGTTGGTTCCGACTGGAGCGGCTCCCTGCCTCTTTTGCTCTCTAGGCTTCTACAGGACCACAGAGCTGGGTACACAGTCCACCTCCATGTGTGTCACTGAAGACTCTCACTTTCTGTCCTCTCCCAACAGTGCTCAGAAGCAACATCCCGGACGGGTACACGTCGTTTCCATTTCACCGTTGATGGAAACAAAAGGTCATCTGCGAAAGTCTCAGATTCAGTAAGTCCATGGCTTTCTGTTCTTCTTTATAAACTGCTTGCGTTCAGAGAGTTGTGAGCTCTGCCACTTCTCACATATGAGAGTAGTGCCTGGGTCTCTTCAAAGCCATTTTCACAGGGTCTGATGCCCAGGCCTCTTTGATCTTGCTTGGGTCCACAGTCCACACCCATGGTATCCGCAGTCAGGACGTCAGGAGACTTACAGCATTAGGAAAGTATGCTGTTCTCCTCAAGTCCTGAAAAGCAGTCATGTCAGTCTAAGACTATAAGGTGCGCCTGATTCAGTCTACAGTCTCCAATTACCTATGCATCTGAGAGCTAGACAGTATATGAAGATGACAGAAGAAAAATGAATGCATTTGAATTATGCTGAAGAATACCGACTCTCGCATGGACTGCAGAGAGAAAGGACAGATTGGGGGTATTGGAGAACATATTGTTTGCAGAGGCTATTGTCTAGAATAGGGAATCATGCTTAGAAAGGTGGAGGGCCAGTGATGGAGAAGAAGGCCCTCCATGAGATGAACTGATGAAGTGGCTACAGTAGTAGCCTCAGAACGTATGTATCAGGGACAAGGGTGGCAGAGGATAGAGCTGAGTTCAGTTCTGTTGTTGATGGAGTTGCTATGAGTTGTACTCGACTCGACAGCACTTAACAATGACAGTGCCTAGGCTGCATATTTAGAGGGTAGTGTTGTGCCATCACGTTGACTCCAGCTCATAGTGTGACCCGACAGGAGAGATGTAGGTTCCTGCAGGGGTTCCCAGCTGACATCTCTGTTGGAGCAGTTCACCCTGGAGGGGCTGGGGAGTTAGGACCCTGAGCACTTAACCATTGCACCACTAGGACTCTTTCCAGTATAATAATTGTGGTGCACATGTGAAGATGGTTATAAACAGTTTCTGGCTTCTAGCTCTCATGTATTTTAAATCGACACAGCAAGACAATGAAGTGCCCGTGAACAGCAGCACTCTCTAGATTGTTACTGAAGTCTGCTGGAAACGGGGCCCTGACATTTTGGTACAGGGTTTCCTGTTTACTGTCCTGCCCTGCTCGCTGTTGTGTCTTAAGTCCCTCTTCTTGATGCCGTTTGCCTTCATGTGGAGTGACTGTCACAGCACTGTCCTCATAAGCTACTATGGTCGTGTCCCTTCACGTCCTTAGTTGGAAGCACAGATCTGTCCTCAGTTTGAGTGATCACCTCAATGGGCTGGAGTATAGTCTTCGCCAGAGGACACCCAGCACTGTGATTTCATGAGGTCCTCGGGGGTGATAGGTGGGGAGTTGTCACCCACCTGCATCGGATTCTGAGCACATGTGGGTGTAAACCAAAGAGTGAAATAAGAAAGGAGCGTAGATAGAAAGCACCAGAGCCAGTGTTCTGCTGTCCTTCGCTTCACAGGAGCTGGGTTGACATGATCCGAATGGTTACTCTTTCTTCAGAAGTTGATTCTTTCAAGGGTACTTTGATGCTTTTGGCATTTCAGCTGCTGGCAGGTTCCTCACTGGAGGGTATTCGCCCTCTGTCCAACCCTCCTGCCCTCTGGGCATGGCCCCAGGAGGAGTGGCGGTCTTTGGAGCCTGAGTCTCACCTCCTTTCTGTTGCTTCTGACATTTATATCCATCATGTGACCTCAGAAAACTCTAGTGCCTTAGTGATAAGGAATTGTGCTTCCAAACCAGGCATACACAGTTCATCTCCACAAGGTGCAATCTCCTGCCTCAGAAAACCCCCGGAGGGGCAGCTCTGAGTCAGTTCTGACTCGATGGCACACGGCAGCAGTAATACGTGAGTTCACGGCAGTCACTACTGAGTGCAAGGTTAATAGTGGATTTTTCTTTCCCAGATTTCGACTCAGTATCCAGTTGTGGATCATGAATTCGATGCGGTTGTTGTTGGCGCAGGAGGGGCCGGCCTGCGAGCTGCATTTGGCCTTTCTGAAGCAGGATTCAATACAGCATGCATCACCAAACTGTTCCCCACCAGGTCCCACACTGTTGCAGCCCAGGTGAGAGGAAGCCCTGCATCCATCAGCTCATCCCACCTCTGCTACAGCTGTCATCCCCACTCTCTCTAGCTGTATCCCTTGCACATTTGAACACATCATCCCAATTGATCTGTTGAATAGCCTGCGTGTCAGGTCCTATACCATTTAAATATTAAGTGTTTCTTGAATAACTCCTCGCTTGAACCTTTAAACAAGCTTGAAGGAGCATAGCTTTATGTCTCCTTTAGAGATGCTAGACTGAAGATGAGGAGTTGACCATGTCAGTCGGCTTGGGAGGGAAGGTCCATGGTAGAGGCTGTCCTCCTTTCTTCAGGGCAGAGCTTGTCATTGGATGGTCTGCTTTGTTGGGTAGAGGCGGCACGGAGAAGTGGTAGACTGTTGTTCACTGCACCCTCATGTGTTCTGGCCTCTAGGGGGGTATCAACGCTGCCCTGGGCAACATGGAGGAGGACAACTGGAGATGGCATTTCTATGACACTGTGAAGGGGTCAGACTGGCTGGGGGACCAGGATGCCATCCATTACATGACGGAACAGGCACCTGCTTCAGTGGTTGAGGTAAGAGGTTGGGCCAAGGACCTTCCAGTGAGGCCAGGCACGATGGGGTGTGGGGACCTGGGCTGTTGAGCGAGATTAGGCAATGTAAGGGAGCTGAGAGCAGTTTGTTCCATGAGACCTGCCAAAAGAAGGGATTAACTTTGGTAATAAGGGAGTCCCCCTCTCCTCCCCCCCGATTTGTTTATTCAAATTGTTTAGAAAGAAGTATTTTCCTTTCCTAAGTGTTGGCATTTAATATGGATTGAAGCTAAACATTAAGAAGACAAAGATTCTCACTACTGGGCCAATTGGCAGCACCATGATGGATGGAGAAGAGTATGAGGTTAAAAGATTTAGCTTGCTTGTCTCCACAGTCAACATGCTTGGTACCAGTTATCAGGTCCCTCTCCAGAGTGCTAAAGAGCAATGATGTCAGTCTAAGGACTAAGGTGTGCCTGATCCAGGCCATGATCTTTGCAGTTACATGGTATGCATCAGAGAGCTGGACAGTCACTAAGGATGACAGATGAAGAATTGATGCCTTTGAGTTGTGGTACTGAAGAAGAGTCTTGAACATACCATGGACTGCCAAAAGAACAAATAGATCTCTCTTGGAGAGGATGAAACCAAGTTTTTCCTCAGAAGCTAGGATTTTGGAGCTCTGTCTCACACACTTTGGGCATGTGACCAGGAGGAGCCAGTCCTTAGAGAAGGACGTCGTCTAGGAAGGGAGGAGGGACAGTGCTGGAAAGGAACACCCCAGATGAGATGGATTGACACGATAACTGGGGCGATGGGATTAAGTGTGTCAGAGTCAGTGAGACTGGCTCAGGACAGGGCAGGCTTCAGAGTTGTTGTGCATAGGGTCGCTGAGTCGCAGGCTGCCCAACGGCACAGAACAAGTGTTGGCCGTAATTTAAGCCCTCTTATTAGTTTTGGGTTTGCAGCTCTGCTTTCAAAGAACTCTGGTGGTGTAGTGGAGCTGTGCTAAAATCCCAAAGGCATGTGGTTCAAATCCACCAGCTGCTCTGCAGGAGAAAGTTGGGCAGATTTGTGTATATTGACAACCTTAACATAATGGCTTTTTTTCGTCTTTATGCTTCATAGCTAGAAAATTACGGCATGCCATTCAGCAAAACCGAAGATGGGAAGATTTACCAGCGTGCATTTGGTGGGCAGAGCCTCAAGTTTGGGAAGGGC